ACACACACACACACACACACACACACACACACATATATATATATATATATATATATATATATATATTATAATTCCCCTGGAAAATTATGAATCCTCTTTTTCTCCCCCAGATATGGATAAATAGCCGGACACACTGGGTTCTATAGCCTTGGATGGCAACCTTTCTAGAAGGTAATTAGGAATTCAAAATAGTTCTGGGGAGGGTTAATTTCCGTCAGGCTATCTTGCCCAAGAAACATTACTTCTACTGCGGTTGCAATAAATGTGGTACCTCTAAGACCCTCATGGGTCACGGAATTCGCAATCACGATTCTTTTATTGCACAGTTTGAACATCGTAATTAATATTGATGACTTTTCCTAAACGCAGTATGAATCGTGGGTTTTGCCTAAGAAACAAAGGTGACGTTTTCATCTTGACGAACTTTTGTTGTTTTAACTTAAAAAAATGTCCTATATATCCTACAATTTAAGAAATTAAACTTTATTCTATATATAACTTCAACAAACTACAACATAAATCGCACATATGTAATAATTATGTAATAATTATGTCCACAGAAATATATGCCAAAAGGCTGTTCAACGTCTACCATGTATCCAACTGTGAAAGCAGAATGACATATAACATTATTTATAATTTCAAAACTTCCAAGAAAATTAAATTTTTGCATTAAATGACCCATAAGGATGTTAATATTCCGCTAAAAACACAAAAAGCTTTAAGATAAGAACGGCGGAGCTCAAGCTGTGGCTCTAGATGTGTCAGAAAAGTATTAAAAAATATAACCTCTATAAAACTGACTCTAATATTTATGTTCACACAAATATGTATATGTACAAACGCTGGGTATTATCTACCATGTATTCAGTTGTGAAGGCAGAATCACATATTTCTATTAATTCAAACCTCCGAAGAAAATTTCATCGTTAAATGAGTTGATATACAGTAAGATAAACAAATCAATCAATCATCGTATGTAAATACGTTTTATAAGTAAAGTCACGGCCTTTATTAAACTGTATTCTTTTATTGTAGGGAGGTACGTTGGAGTAATGGATAGTGGCTTGGAATTCGAATTCCTGTCGGATCCATTACAATAAACTTCGAAAAGGTATGAATCATCTTGTTCTCTCCTACCAGCTATGGGTAAATAGCAGGGCAGACCGGATTCTATAGCATTGGATGGCAACCGGTCTACCGCAGAAAGAATTGGCAACTTACTGTGGGAAAAAAAATCTGCCTCGTCAGTCATGTATCGAAAGATACATGATCAACTCGGAGTATATCACGTATGGCACATAATTGACTGACTGACTAACTTTCCAGTCGTTATTCATTACCTTCACTTACGTGCTAATACCCTCGGGAAAGGTATGAATCCTCTTCTTCTACCCCCCCCCCAGTTATGTATAAATATCAGGGTAGACTGGGTTCAATAGACTTGGATGGCAACTGTTCTACCGCAGAAAGAAATGGCAACCTACTGCAGAAAAAAATCCGTCAGTCATGTATCGAAAGATACATGATCGCCCATGAGTGTAGCACGCATGGCACATAACTGACTGACTGAATTTCAAGTCGAATCCATTACATTCACTTACGTGCTAATAGCTTTGGGAAAGGTATGAGTCCTCGTCTTCTTCCCCAGCTATGGGTAAATAGCCGGGCAGACCGGGTTCTATAACTTCTGATGGCAACTTCTCTGAGAGAAGGTAATTATGAATTCAAAATGGGCCTGGGGTGGGTTTCGCTCCGTCAGATTATCTTTGCCAAGAAACAGCACTTCTACTGCGGTTGCAGTAAATGTGGTACCACTAAGACCCTGAGGGGTCACAATCGTGATCGTGATTCTTTTATTGTACAGTTTGAACACCGTAATTAATGGTGATGACTATTTTCCTTAATGCAGTTTGAATTTTGAGTTGGGCTTTAGAAACAAAGATAACGTTTTCATCTTGACGAACTTTTGTTGTTTTAACTTTAAAAAAAAAAGTCCTAAATATATGTCTTATCCTTTTTCTATCTGAACTTGAGTTTAACCTAGCATTATATGAAAAATAAATGTTCCATTTACTCGGAATAATGTAGTATTGCATTCTCCTCAATTTTACAAAACCATACACACTCAGACAAACACACACACACTACATATATGCACAAATATACGTTTACAGTTTTTTCCCTCAGTATCTATCTCTCTTCCTTTCTCTCTCTCTCTCTCTCTCTCTCTCTCTCTATATATATATATATATATATATATATATATATATATATATATATGTATGTATGTGTGTGTGTGTGTGTGTGTGTGTGTGTATCTGTATACTTGGGTTCTTGTGCTTTTCAACAAAAATTTGTTCCTGAAATTTATTTTTTCAGCCCCTTATCTATCCTTTGTAACGTTTGTCGATCATTGCAAACACATTTATTCGTTTGCGCGCGTTTTTGTCTGATATGCAAGATTTTAGACGCTGTTGTCGAAGACTTAATTTTAGCAAAATTGTTTCTTATCAAAGTTTACTAATTTTTTCGTCTTCATTATCAATTTTACAAAATATTCGAGAAATCTCGTTTGTCCTGTTTATTATCTCTTTTTTTTGTTTTCCTTCATCTCTTGATGAAAAATTCTATGCTATGTCTTTTTGTTGTTTTAGTGTTTCTTTTCACTTCTATCTTATAAATATTTTTTTCTTATATTACCTGTTAATTATTTTTTATTTGTTTTCATTGTAGGTTTCTTATCAACAACAACAGATAAATTCTCTCATTTGTCTTCCATTTTGCTGAGACAGACTTTGTATTTTCTACAGTTTTCTTCTTAACCTAGCGTAAATGAATTTCTTCACCATTTTTTATCCCATTGTTTCTTATTTTACCGCCATTTTGTTTTCTTAAACATCGCTTTCACGTCTCTCTGTTATTCATCTCTTTTCCTCTTCCTTGTTCATTTTTTTTCAATTCCTCATTTTCTTTATGTCTCTGTTTCTTTCTTTCTTTCTTTTTCTCATAGTTGCTTAGTCAAAGGCTGACACAAGGCAGCGGGATTGGGAGACAAATGCGATAATACTCGTTATATTAGTACGCTGGTCGACAAAACGATGTTGCTAAGGATTGTATTACCACAGAATCACGGTTAACCGTTGTTATTTTCTCCTCTGTATTCTGTTACTTCTTCTTCTTCTTCTTCCCTTCTTCTTCTTCTTCTTCTTCTTCTTCTCATTATTATTATTATTATTATTATTACATTTCGATTTCTGCTATGGTCACACTATCTACCAAGTCTGTGGGAAGACTTAAGGCAGTTAGTGGTGTGTTGTTATGGCTACATTTTATGATTTGTTTTTCTAACTCCCATAACATCACTAGCGTTACATGGTCAAAGTTCTTCTTACTCTGTGGGCTGTACTTACCAAGACAATTTTTTGTATTTCTCTTAAGCAGGTATTTCTTCTTCTTCTTCTTCTTCTTCTTCTTCTTCTTCTTCTTCTTCTTCTTCTTCTTCTTCTTCTTCTTATTATTATTATTATTATTATTATTATGGTTATTATTATTATTATTATTATTCAACATCTATTTATCTTATCCTTCCGCTTACACAAGTCCTCGTATTCCCCTTCTTCTTTTTGTCATTCTATCTTTCTGTCTTTCTTCCTTTCTTTCTTTCTTTCTTTCTTTCTTTCTTCTTCTATTATTATTACTATTATCATTATCATTATTGTTATTATTATTATTATTATTATTATTATTATTTTCAAACATCTATTTATCTCTTCCTCCCCCTTCTTCCTTCTTCTCATTATTATTATTATTATTATTATTGTTATTGTTGTTGTTGTTGCGTATTTTTTTCTTTCTTTCTTCAAAGGTTTTTCTTCGTCCGCCTCCTCCTCTGGATCGTTTTCTTTTTCTTCTTTATCTTTTTTGTAATTATTATTATTATTATTATTATTATTATTATTGCAAATCTTCTTTTCTTTTTTTCCTTCGGCTTCTTTTTGTGCTTTTTCCTTGTATTTCATCTTCTTTTTCACAGCCTTTCTTTCTACCATCTTTTTTTTTTTCACTTTTTTCTACATTTTACGCGATCTGCCTCAGTCGTTTTTTTTATTACAACAATATTTTTGTTATCATTCAACCTATGTTTGTTATCTTACCACCTTCACTCAATACGACTGTTCAAGTTACTTGCATTATCATTATTATCATTGTTATTATTATCTTTTTTTTGTTGTTGTAGGTAAAGTCCTCTTCGTATTTGTAAGAGCAGTATCAGAATTTCCTAAGATAAAAACATGCTTTATTTATCGATTACATTTCTACCTGTTCTCCTTATCCGAAATTCGTGTTAAGCGAAATTGATAGCAATCAAAGAGTTGTTAAAAAAAACTAGCGTTTCTTTCTCGACACGAATATTTTTTAACGTTTCACTTGATCGTTTTTGTCAAGGATTCTACTTATCAACATCGAAAGTGGTAAATTATTTCTACAACGACCTAAAGGTGTTCAAAGTAAAGACCAAAAGCAAAAAAGAAACCATATAGGCATGTCGAAAATTAATAATCGGTGAAGCTGATCTAGTACCGCGTTTGAATTCAGAAAGTACGCAGTACTAGATTGGCGACAAGAACTCATCATTTTACAGTTCGAATGGCTAGAGCCAACCGTAAGTTCTATGCTAACAGTTCCATGTATCACACTTCTCGCTTGTGGAATGCACTTATAACTTCTTCCTTCCCAATAAACTTTGATTTTCAAACTTTTAAAAGCAATATCAATTGTTATTTTATGTCTTCGTAATTCTAGTTATTTTATTATTCCCCACATTAATAGTAATTTTTCTGATATTCTCTAAAACTCAGCAATCCACTTGCATCTTAGTGGCTTTACTGCCTTGCTGAGGTTGAAATCATAAAGAAACATTCACACACATACGTACATACATACATAAATATATTTCCATATATATATATATATATATATATAAATATATATATATA